CTCAAGACACTACGAGGAAGGAAACGCCGTTCTACCTCGGTCATGGTTGGGATGCGCAGTCGACGTTGCGGGCAATGTCGTCATCACTCAAACAAGGACTCGGCAAGCAGTCTGACGCACTGGCGTGGCGGCGTGAGATCAATCGACAACATGAGGTCGCCCTCACTATGACCAAGGATTATCAGGCTGTAGAAAAGGAGCGAAGGGCTAAAAAGCATAATGATGCTCTGAGTCGACTGGAAAAAGCTGCTGTACCTCAACCAAGTGGAAACGAAGACTCGGCGGACCCTCCAGAAGCTTCGGAAGAGATGGGAAGATTCTGCAAGAGCCCCACCGAGATCTCTTTTCGAGATTGGAGCCGGGCGTGGCTTGTACATGGAACGCGTCAAACCGGGCTTGACGAAGAAATTAAGCTCACCGATGGCATGGACCTTATCGGATCAAGCGCAAGGTGGAAGAGTTTGCGTACGAGGCGTGCGGCGGGATCGAAGTGGGTATCGCTTTTACCCAGTAGTGCATGTTTCAAGACTCAAAGCTGTCAACGAATTCAACAGTCGACCGAACACTCGGTTGGTACTTGACGCGACTAATGAAGCAAGACTCGACTTCGATGAGGAACTACTGCCTGAGGACAGCTGGGAACCAGACCAAGTTGCCGGTGAATATGAAGTCGAGGCCATCCTCGACGACAGAACACCACTAACGACGAGCACGGAGCGTGCTGTACGCGAGTTCAAAGTCAAGTGGGTTGGCTATGAAGATACAACTTGGGAACCTTCATCAAACTTGTCATGTGGAGGTCTGCTGTACGACTATTTGCGAGCCAAGAAGAGCGAGAATCGGCTGCAGATGGCGCAGGTGGCGGACGAAGACTAGCGTGACTGGATCACGTGTGAACTGTCCACAGGGCGATGCAGCCTGTGGTAACAGACGAAAAACGTTACTGCAACAACAAATTGTATATGCATTTGAAGAACAACATGAACATGATTACGCTGTGGAAGTGGATTAAGAATAAGAAAACATGAATGCCGACCGGAGAGCGACCACTGAAAACGAAGTCACGCGGGATACCTCAACAGTTGGCTGAGATGCTGGAGAACGTCGTGGAACACGCAGCGAGGACATCATCGAAACCAACAGCAGTCTCGAGGCGACGCTGAGTGTGCATATCGCCGTGGAGAGGAGGCGCAACGCTGAGCTGCACTTGGTGACGAGCCATTGCAGTCAAGTACGGGATTATCGAGGTCATCATGTGATCGACGGATGCCTCCGTACTTTCAGCCAGCATGGCGTGCAGCGAATCTTCGGTGAGTGGTGGTGGACCACCAGCTGGGGCAGGAGGAGCAGCAGGAGCCATCTCCGCGGATTCAGCGACGACGGGGAGTGCTGCAGGAGCTACCGCAGGGAGTGAAGAGTCCGGGACAGGAAGCGCCGAAGGACCAGTTGATGACACCGCTGTCGGAGGAAGTGTAGCAGACTGAGGGACGTTCGAACCCTCGGTCTTGCCCTCCTGAGAAACAAGTCGAGTAATGCGAGGTGATGAGCAAGGTGCCGATGATTCAAGAGAAGGATGAGCTGACGTACCTCCAGCTGTTCACGTTCGCGACGTCTACGAGGATTGAGACGCTGAAAAGCGTCGGACACGGCTCGATTCAGACGCTTGGACATACGGTGGCGAGATGGTAAATTGAAGAATGAAGAAATGTCACAGCGGGCACCAGTACCGTGGCTTCCATTGCGACAGGGGCAGTTGTGGTGTAGTGATTTCTCCGTGGTTGCGGATTATCACCCGTCGACAAAGACGTGACACCGCCCAAGTTGCTCAAGCGACGAACCCTCGGTCGGGTGATGTACGGAGACGCCAAGGTGCAAGGGACTCGACGGCGTCACCTCCGAGTTTTCAACAAGTATCGGATACGGCCCTATGTCACTGAATCCAGGCTGTCCTTATTATTAATAATGGACTGGCCGGATTCGCATTCAGCGGACCATCTACGGTACGAACCCTCAGTGGCGGTTGGGATGAGTTCGCGGAATACTCAGCGACCTTTGGAAGACACGTTCACCATCTGGGACAGGGCGCGGACCGTTAAAGATGCTCATGCGACGGTGCAGACGACGCTTGACATGCAAGAAGATCCATAACGGATCATTGTTCACTTGATATTTGTATACTTGATTAGGACTTCTTATTAGGAATAGACCCGAAAGGGTAAGCTTAAATACAGAACAGAATTTCCACTCAAGCACACAGAGCGATGTCCGGCTTCAAGGTAAGCGTCAGGTCAAGCTTGTTTGAGTATGTTATGCCTGTCGGTGAACTCGAAGCTCTGTAGCGAGGGTTCATCCGGCAAGGCCAAGAGACTTTGTGTATTGGCCGATTATTATCGGGAGGTTCTACGTGACGGCTTATTGTTGCCTATTTGCACGACTGGGAGTGCTTGAATTGCCTCCCTTTTATTTCTTCTGGCCGAGGGTTGAACACTCGGTGATCTCGTAAAAGGCTTACCCGTGCCTGGTACCCTTCCGCTGTTGGGACCACGAGGATTCAAAACACCTGCTAGCTTTGCTCGTGCTAGTAGCGTGCTCTTATTTTACTGGTTGGCCTATATAAGTAGTTTACAAGGTCCAGTTTGTCCCGGTGCAAGGGCAGAACTGGGGTCTTCAGGTCCGCCCGAACGATCGTTTACTATCCTAGTAGACGTATTGTTGTGGGAACATCCTAACTACATCTGTAGCTAGAGTTCACGTGGGATTTCCAACACCACACCAGTATCAGAGCCGTTCACTCCAAGTCGATTAGCGGCTTGGTCCACGATGTTCAGCACGCTTTGAAGACCTTGCGTAGTCGACAGACTGGGTCGCATCCTCGACGGTAGACTCCTAGTCTGACCTTCTTCTTCCCGGATGGAGGCGTTCACAACCTCTCCGGCGTTAGTAGACGCCATTTCGTCCGTCCTTCTTACGTTCTCCGCGAGTCTTCACTTGAAACAAGACCTTCTCCAGCAAGCAGACTACTCTGCTTCTCCACCAGATGTCGTATACCTCCTCTTCCTTCAAGGGTCGGGTAGTCCGCGGCTGTTCAGGGAGTACGGTCTTGTTCAGTGGCTGCAGGAACGGTAGATAGGAACACTAGTAAGTTGTAATAGAAGTTTGTTTATTGGCTTGTCTTCCTCTTGAGTAGAAGGAGAGAAATATAAGACTGAGAGCTAAACTGGAAGAGAGATCTAACACCTTCTCGACCTTACATACACTACACTACTTCTTATATTAATAAGAAGGATTCACTTCGTTTGTCGTCAGTCCTCGTGGGACAACGGAGAGCTTCCGGGAAGGGGCTTGATGACGCGAGGTGCTTTTGGTTCCACGACGCCAGGACACCGCCGTTCTGGGATCCCTTATAGGACCACCCTAACGGGCTCGGTCTGGGGCACGTGCGTTGTCGGGTTCAACGGGAACCATCCTGATGGGACGGCCGGACGAGGAGTGATTCCAGGGCCTCGAGTCATCCCGTCGGGAGGCAGAGCTCCTGGAATGACCCCTCCGTTCCCGGGTACGGGACAGTAGGCTAAGCTTGAGTTAAATTTACACACTATAAGTCACCTATATAAAAGCAATGTCATCAGCCAATGGTCGGCCTCGGACGACTCTGGTACCATGTACCAGATATCCCGAATTATGACGTGTCATACTTTATGTAACAAGGTACATGGTGGCGTCGCTATTATAGAATAAAATCCTGGTAAATTATAAAGACGTTATTATAGTCAATAAGAACGCCAGATAACGAGTTACAACGAGCAAGAAAATATTGTTCCCCCGCTAAAAGCGATAGTGAGATGGAATAAAAAAACTCAAGACGCGTGCTCCTCATTTGCTCTGGAAGGCTTGATGGTTGCGCGGTAACTCGGTTCATTGGTCTTCTACATGTATTTATATGTATTTATATATAACTAATACATGTACATGCAATCTCCAGTCAGCCGCAAACAGCAGCTCGCCGAAAGCAGCTGCCACTGCGAATAAAGGGCTCAATTATCTGTCACCAAGAGCAACATGGGTACGTGCGTGACGTAGGCGCGCCGCGATGTCAAGGACATCCTGGAGGATTAGCGTTGACAATCGCCACCACATGTACATGTATTATAGTACAGTACATGTATACATGTAGTACTGTACACTTCGAAGTCCATAATTTAAAGTAATACATGTACGCTGTACGGTCTTCGCTGGACTGAAGCCAGCAAACCCTGTCAATGTCTTTGCGGGGTATCGACGGCACCGATGGCGCCAACAGCACCGACGTTCGAACACTCGAGCCCCGACAATACGAAGAGTTCTTTGCCTTGCATACTGAAAAAGTGTAGGTAGACATGTGCTGTTGTGCGCGGCTGACGCAGTTTACCAGCAGAGGCTGTCGGTTTTGGTAGTCCCAGGCTGCAGTTAGGGCACCAGGAAGACGACTCGGCTACTGAGGAGCTCGAAAGAATGCTGGCCTCGGAGAGTCGATGACAACCGCCGGTTGGCAACCGGACCAAGCCATGCCGAGATGCAAACATCTTCACCTTGAAGGAGGCTGCTGCATGGGTGAGCATTGGAGCTTGCGTACAGGATGGGGAAGCGCGGTGCGAGTCAATGCCCGTCAACGGGGAGACGCTGATCTTCTCTCTCGGAATGCTCCATACAGATACATGTAGCGAAGCTTTTGATGAGCGCCCCCATTCAGTCGATATTAATAGAAGGCACTTTCCACCTCGGTACTCCAGCTGTAGTCGGCTCGGCTCTGCTCTGCTTCGGTTGCGCCGCAGTGCGGCGCACACCCGTGGAATTCAGGCCCCTAGTCCCCCTCGGAAGAAATAGCCGCCCACCTCGCTTTCTTGTCTGTAGAGGCCTCGCGATAAGACGGCAAAGCTGGAGGCCCGCTCCCTGTTAAAACCGATATCGATCTCTCCTGCTCGCGCCGCGCAAGCCTATACCAGCTGCTCATTTTCCATTTGGCCGCATCCCACTCGCTTGCTCAGCCTCGACCTCCACTCCGACACCCGGTCGCTAACCTCACCTCACCTCACCGCACTCCGACTCCTGCTGCCTGCTACCTGACAAGATGCTGCAGAACGACTACGGCTACTCGCACTACCAGGGCGCTGCTCAGCACCACCAACACAGTGGGGAGCGTCCCAAGCTCTTCGGAGCGTCGCTCGACAATGGCGGCTCGGCCAATGGCTATCACGGCCCGGGCATGCATGACTTCCACCAGCTCGTGCATCCAAACAACATGACTCCACAGCACCACATGCAGCAGACTCCGCAGCACCACGCGCAGACCCCGCAGCACCAGCAGGGCGAGTTTGACCACGAGCCCATCATGATGAACATGCAGCACCCCGGCCAGTACTACGCACCTCCGCCCATGACGGCACAGATGCTACACGTATCCACGGACTACAATTCCGGAGGTTCAGCGGGAGGTGCCACGCCGTCGAACTCGCACGCGGGCTCCAAGCGCTCGCGTGAAGATCTTAACATGAAGGAGAAGAAACGCATGTTCAAACTCAACGACCGCATTAACCAGCTCAAGACTCTGCTGGACGAAGCAGGTGTTCAGTCCAAGAAGAATAAGCAGTCGATCCTGGACAACACGTACCACTACGTGGGCATGCTGCGCAGTAACCTCTTGATCGCCAAGCAAAAGGCCGAGCGTGCTGAGAAGCAGGCCGAGAGCTTCCGCTCGCAGGCTCAGAGTGGCGGCCCTATGGATGCTGTATTCAAGCGCTGCTTTGACCAGTCCTCGACTCCGCGTGTCGTGGTGGACCTAAACATGCAGCTCATGGCCGTCAACTCGGCCTTTCTGTCACAGACCGGTCAGACCGAGGACAGCCTTATGGACATCAACGCTCTGCGCTCCAGCCTCTGCCTCGACAACGGAAAGCTTGACGCCATCGTGCAGTCCGTCAGCAGCGGAATGAAGCCGATTAGCGCCATTGTTCAGGCACATGGTGCGGGCAACAACATCGCGACACTCACACTCATGGCGTCAGTGCTGACGGATGACGGAAACTCGGTTACTGCCATTGAGTTTAGCCTCGTGCCCTTCGAGATCTCGTCTGATTTCTCGACGCCCAATGCAAACAGCTACTTGAACGATGTCAAGCAAGACATGCCCAAGGAGGCCAGCCCTTCAGGTGTTAGTGACCTCGCCGTGTAATACGGTGGTGGCGGGTGCAAAACACAAAGGACCAAGTTGCCCCACCGCATGTGTGATATATTTCTAAGCAGAGTCCACGGCATCCACTGCAGCGGCTTAGGCGAGGAGTTGGCCTCGGTAGATAAAGTGTAACATATAACCTATTGTCGATCACACCTTGCTGGTTGCTGTTCAATTACAATCTACAGTACGAAGAGCTGTAGACTTCGCCGAAGAGTGCAGTCACGAAGAGCACGTGACCATGAAGCACTGCTTGTTGCCTGACTGAGGCATCGCGTTAGCGTCGACGGCTCGGAGCCACAGGCGCCATCTGCTGCGAGGACAGCTGGACAAGGTCGGATCAACGCTTCAACGGAAGTGGCGGTGAGTCACCGCCGGTGACGAGACCACCTCCGTGACCGAAGGCCCATATGGCGGGCAAACGAAGCCATCCAGCAGCGGAGAGAACCAACGCACCGTCGCGGCAGACACCAGCGCTCCTGCAGCGGTCCGCGCACTACTTCAGCGAGAAACATTCGGTCGCTCCGCACTCGAGAACGAATGGGTGGTGATCGACACAGGAGCCCCCTGATTCAAGATGCGCGGTCGCCGATCGCGACGGACTTGATTCGAGAAGGGTGTCGAAGTGATTCGCTGATCCATTTACAATGGAACGACGCGTTGTGAGCACGCGCTTCCAATCCATGACGGATCGATTGATGGCGCGGTAAATGAGAGAGTTACAGTACATGTATTACATGTATTAACCCTTTCACTACAGTACCGACAAAATCGTGCGCTGTTACATGAGACCTGTAACTGGATACATAAGCATTACTGATTGGTAAAAACTCTCCCAGCATGGCTTAGGTCTACAGCTATTAATACATAACAGGTCCTCACCGGACCGGTATCAACACATCTCCGTAGCATTACTGCTTAATTTAAGACATAATAGTTTGTGACCCCAAGGTTGCCACCAGTTTTCACTTCTCTCACTGTTATTTGTTATTTTGCACTCTTCTGGCAATGGACATATCTGAGCTACTGAACAACAACGACGATGGAGCCAACTGGGAATTCGAGACTTCTGATATTGAGGAGGTGGAAGACAGTGCTGCTGCCGTCCTGTCAAACGAGGAGGTGGGCATCGCAACAGAATCAGATAGCGAGTCAGCGTCATCAGCTAAGAAAACGATGCCAATATCTGGCAGAACTGGCAGCGCGTATGTAGATGGAATCATTCAGAACAGCGGGCTACACATGTGGTGCTGGAATTCCCACGCGAACTCTAGCTACAAATGTAGTTAGGGCGTTCCCACAACAATACGTCTACTAGGATAGTAAACGATCGTTCGGGCGGACCTGAAGACCCCAGTTCTGCCCTTGCACCGGGACAAACTGGACCTTGTAAACTACTTATATAGGCCAACCAGTAAAAATAAGAACACGCTACTAGCACGAGCAAAGCTAATAGGTGTTATAAATCCTCGTGGTCCCAACAGCGGAAGGGTACCAGGCACGTGTGGTGTAGTGATTTCTCCGTGGTTGCGGATTATTACCCATCCACAAAGACGTGACACCGCCCAAGTTGTTCAAGCGACGAACCCTCGGTCGGGTGATGTACGGAGACGCCAAGGTGCAAGGGACTCGACGGCGTCACCTCCGAGTTTTCAACAAGTATCGGATACGGCCCATATGTCACTCAATCCAGGCTGTCCTTATTACTAATAATGGACTGGCCGGATTCGCATTCAGCGGACCATCTACGGTACAAACCCTCAGTGGCGGTTGGGATGAGTTCGCGGAATACTCAGCGACCTTTGGAAGACACGTTCACCGTCTGGGACAGGGCGCGGACCGTTAAAGATGCTCATGCGACGGTGCAGACGACGCTTGGCATGCAAGAAGATCCATAACGGATCATTGTTCACTTGATATTAGTATACTTGATTAGGACTTCTTATTAGGAATAGACCCGACAAGTGTAAGCTTAAATACAGAACAGAATTCCACTCAAGCACACAGAGCGACGTCCGGCTTCAAGGTAAGCGTCAGGTCAAGTTTGTTTGAGTGTGTTATGCCTGTCGGTGAACTCGAAGCTCTGTAGCGAGGGTTTCATCCGGCAAGGCCAAGAGACTTTGTGTATTGGCCCGATTATTATGGGAGGGTTTTACGTGACGGCTTATTGTTGCCTATTTGCACGACTGGGAGTGCTTGAATTGCCTCCCTTTTATTATTCCAAACGAGTGTTGAACACTCGGTGATCTTGTAAAAGGCTTACCCGTGCCTGGTACCCTTCCGCTGTTGGGACCACGAGGATTCAAAACACCTGCTAGCTTTGGTCGTGCTAGTAGCGTGTTCTTATTTTTACTGGTTGGCCTATATAAGTAGTTTACAAGGTCCAGTTTGTCCCGGTGCAAGGGCAGAACTGGGGTCTTCAGGTCCGCCCGAACGATCGTTTACTATCCTAGTAGACGTATTGTTGTGGGAACGTCCTAACTACATTTGTAGCTAGAGTTCACGTGGGAATTCCAACACCACAACTGGTGCCGCGACCCGGGAACAGATTGCGACCATTGTGAACTGTTTGTATGGCCTTCCAGTTTACGAGCTACCAAGAGAAGAAGAACAAGAAAAAGAAAACAAGAAACATGGCGAAAGGACAAGCGACGGTACCAGCTACGCCTGCCAAGTCTGGCGGGGCTCGCAACGAGAGTTCAAGCCCGGCTGCGCGCTTTGCAGCCGCCACCGAGCTTTCAGTGAGCTTCGACGACGAAGCGGACATCGGTCCTGACGCCCACAAATATGAAGATTACGAAGACAAGACGCCGGCTCCAGAGCCAGGCGCAGCGACGCCGGAGACGGCCACGCTATCATCGGGGCTGAGCGGGGCGACCAGGTCCCTTTCGAGGAACCTCGTCGACGAGCTCGATGATGTTGCGGGACCGGAACCGGCCTCTGAAGATTATGACGATGGGACCGAGGGTTCTAAACTTTCGGTGGCGAGTGCAAAGCATTCAGCACTGCTGTAGGCACCTCGCCCACCTATCAACGGTGATACACCAGCCGCCAAGCGCGTTTTCGACCGCGTACAAGCGCTGATGCAGAATGATGAGTGGATGCAGCTGTTCAAGCCCATCCCCAAGAAAAAAGCCGACTGGCCTGCGCTTGTGCAGAGACTTCAATACCCAGTCAACTCGGTTTCGACTAGCCAAGTTGCCGAGGATTCAGTTTCGCTACTGTTGTCGCTGGGCTTCGAAAACGAGACGTACCCATCGACGATGTCGCTCCAGGATTGGAGTCCACATGAAGCCGGAGCTGCTCTCCAGAAATGGAAGAAGAAGCTTCGGAAGGTGTTTGGCGCTGTTGGCATCAATGCCGGAAAGCAGCCTGTGAGTCGACCGATGATTCAAGATGAAGATCCGTCTAAGATTCCACTGCCGCCGACGCCCCAACGACTCGTTCGTACTCCTCCGACCAAGCGTGGAGCTGACCGTGGTGCCTTTGGCACTACCGAAGCCTCATCGTACTTTCAAGACTCGCACATGGTTCCGCCACGTTCGGAGAGCCGTATGCAACGCATTTACGCAAGTAACGAGAGTTCGTTCGGTCGCCGAGGCGGTGCGCGAGCCCCCAAAGATGGTGCCGGACGTCGTCAAGTCGACAGCGATGGTTCGTCCAGTGACGATGACATTTTGGTGCGTACATTCGACGAGGAAGATCCTCAACTCGAGTTGATGCGTCAGATGAATGAGCTAGCGACGCTGAACGACGTGGACCCAACACCGAGGATTGAAATGGCTTCGCACCGACCGCTGGATCACATCACGCCGTTCTCAGGCTCTCGCAACAAAAGCGAGAACTGTATGCAGTGGCTCCGTGGGTTCGTCTATGAAATGACTGGAACCCACACAGATGCCGATAAATGGTGCATTCCATTTGAGCTAAGTCTCCGAGACGGAGCCATTCATTGGCTCCGTCAACTTATGAAGAAGACGAAGCGCAAGTGGAAGCTGCTGAGCGATGCGTTCATCCGCTACTACTGCTCGCAGTTCACGCAGACGGCACTGTCGCGTTACTACTGCGCCAAGCGGGAACGAAATGAACATCTGGGCGACTACATAAACAGGCTGAACGGCTACGCTCGGACCGCCCGTCTACACTTTGAGAAGAGTGGTCGCGACGCGAAAGAACACGTACAGCAGTTCCTGGCAACATGCGACGATGACAAGCTAGCGGAGAGTCTCTACCACGCTCGAGTCGCCGACATTCACGAGCTTGAAGAGATCATCGAAGATGTTCTCAAGGGCAAGGAGAGAATGGCCAAGCGTGACAGTGAGTACCGATACGCTAAGAGTCGTGATACGCGACGCGACGATGGGTACGCCCGCAACAACCGGCGTGATGACCGTCGCCGCGATGACAACCGCAACAAACCAAGAGTGACACTCATTGAAGCTACGGTGGACGACCTACTAGCTGAATTAGAAGGTCGTGAAGCTGCTCAAGGAGGCAACGAGTATTCAAACGAAGATCCGAACGCTTACGACAATGTCCAAGATGAGTACAGCGACTTTCAGCCCGATAATACGGATGGTGATTTCTCATTGGATGAAAACGACCGATACCTCGCCGCTGCTAACGAAAACGAGCGCCGTGCAGCTGCTGAAGGCACCTACGCACGTTCGGACAACCGTCAACCGCGTGGAAACACGCCTGATCGCGAGAATGGCTTCAATCAAGATCGCCGAAGTAGTGACCGTGGGTTCAATCAGGACCAACGCGGTCGACGTGACTTCAACCGCGACAACCGACGCCCACAGTACGGACCATGCGCGGTGTGCGGTGGCATGAGTCACTCCGCCCACTACTGTAACAAGCGATGCAAGTTCTGCAAGCAGCTCCACGATGCTGGACAATGCGAACTTTTCCGCAACTTCCAAGACCTTGCCAAATTCGTGCGCACTAAAGGCACGAAGGAGGAACTCCCGCCAGAGCTCAAGGCCGTCGTTCAAGAACGTCATTTAAACTAGGCAGCCCGCCAACTACAACTGAGTTGGTCCCTATCGGGCTGCCACAGTTAACCGAGCCTTCAATGGAAACAGAGTGTATCTTTGCTTTCATGGGGCAGAGTGAATGGCCTGATAATTACGTAACAAGTGTGAACGCGACGAAAAATGAAAAGGAGAGGAGTAGAATCCTCGGTGGAGGTGTTGGAGAGAGAGTGGAGCGTGCTGATGCTGATGAGGGCACCAGTGAGGATTCGCTCGGCTTGGTTTCGAGTGCAGCGCGAGACGAGCCCAAGGGTCACTCCAAGATGATGAAGTTGAACCCTGGTGAGAGACAGGGGTGGTGGTCGGCCAAGCAATTCGACCGACGGATCAGAATGAGAGCTCTGGTGCAAGGCGCTGTGAATGACCAGCGAACGAGGATCCTCCTCGACACAGGAGCAAACGTTAGTGTGATCACTGACGCCTTTGCCAAGAAGTTGCGACTCCGAGATGTACCTGATCACGGACGCCGCATTGACATTCAAGGAATCAACGAAGGCAAGGTGTCTACGACGCGACGAGCGTGCGTCAAGATTACGCTTGGATGGGAGATGGTGTACGAGTTCGAGATGTGGGTAATGGCGCATAGTGCAGGCGTCGACGTAGTAC